CTGAGCGAAATAAGAGATAAGCCCTTCGTCAAGTGGCCAGCCAAACTAGGAGAAGCTCAGAAGGACTATGACGAAAGATCACGGTGCACCTTCCACAAAGAAAAGGGACACCGCACGGAGAATTGCACACCATTGAGACAACACCTGGAAGAATTGGTGGCAGCAGGCTACTTGGCCAAATACATAGAAGGAAGGACGCAGCCAGCCCCCCAGGATCACAATAACCCCAACGGAATGCCAATCGATGCCCCACCTCAAGGCATTATCAATGTAATACATGGAGTCTTTGAACCTGAGCGTGTATGCGAGCTCAGGGGATCAATCAAAAAGGCCGAGCACTTTAGAGAGGTGTTAAGTGCCCAACCTGCCATCAAGAAGGGAAAGACAGAGGCAACAAACGTCATGTCTTTTTCAGATAAGGACTTGGATCGAATATACTGTCCTCACAATGATGCTCTGGTCGTCACTCTCCGAGTCAAGGATTTTGACGTCAAGCGGATTCTGATTGACCAGGGTAGTTCATGTGAGATCATGTACTACGAAACATTTAAACAACTGAAGCTACAAGACAAAGACTTGGCACCTGCAGTATCTCCCCTAATTGGATTCAACTCCATGCCAGAATGGCCCGTCGGCAAAATAATTCTTCCAGTCAGAGCAGGAAGCGTAACAAAACAAGTGGAGTTCTGGGTATTGAAGGTCCCCTCCACTTACAACATCATCTTGGGCCGAACATGGCTGCACGCCATGCGTTCGGTGGCGTCATCCTACCACCAGGTAATGCAGTTCCCCAACGACACCGGTATAATCGAAGAAGTCTATGGAGATCAGATCATGTCAAAACAATGTTTCGCCATGGTAAATGGCAGCCGCGCTGCCAAAGGATACGTTCATTCGGTGGAGGAACCTGAAAGCAATGAACTATTCGCGGACGTCGGCAAAGAGGCTGATCAAAAAGCGGTGGAGGACTTGGTGGAGGTAAAAATAGATGAGAAGAACCCGGATAAGTTCTTCTTGCTTGGCTCGTCGTTGTCCAGCACTGAGAGATTAGAGGTCTTGGAATTCTTGACCTCCAACATCGAAGTGCTTGCCTGGACACCCTATGACATGCCAGGCATTGATTCAAACTTCATCAGTCACCAACTCAATGTCCACCCATCCGCCAGGCCAGTTATTCAGCGCACTCGCAGATCGGCACTTCACCATGTCGAAATAGTGGCCGAAGAAGTAGGTAACCTGCTGGAGGCAGGAGCAATTAGAGAAGTACACTACCCAAGATGGATCTCCAACACTGTTGTGGTACCGAAGAAGAATGGCAAGTGGCGCGTCTGCGTCGACTACAAAACAGTCAACAAGGCGTGCCCAAAAGACAGCTTTCCTCTACCACGAATAGATCAACTGGTGGACCTAACGGTGGGGCACAACCGACTTAGCTTTCTGGACGCATACAGAGGCTATCACCAAATCGCCATGCATGAACCAGACCAGGAGGTCACATCTTTTACAACTCCAAGAGGACTATACTGTTACAAGGTCATGCCCTTTGGCCTGAAGAACGCAGGGGCAACATTCCAACGGATGGTCACCAAGATGTTTGAACCATTGTTAGGCAGAACAATGGAAGCTTACATCGACGACATGGTGGTCAAAAGCAAGGATGAGAATGACCATCTTAAGGACCTAGGCGAGATGTTTGAGATCCTGAAGAAGCACAAGTTGCGCCTCAATGCGTCCAAGTGTGTATTCGGAGTAGGATCAGGCAAATTCCTGGGCTTCCTCGTGACCAACCGTGGTATAGAAGCAGACCCCTCCCAGATCAAAGCAATCCAAGATTTGGAGAGACCCAACTCTGTAAAAGAAGTACAGCATCTCACCGGCATGGCAGCTGCACTCAACCGGTTCATAAGCAGGTCGTCAGATAGACTACGACCATTCTTTCAAGCTCTAAAAGCTAAGTTTGAGTGGGATATAGAATGCGACCAAGCTCTGGAAAGCCTGAAGAATTATATGTCTTCCCCACCACTGCTTGTTACCCCAGTACCTGGTGAAGAACTCTTCTTGTACCTGGCAGTCTCTCAGCACGCAGTTAGAGCAGTATTGGTTCGTGCAGAAGGAATCCAACACTTGCCCATCTATTATGTCAGCAAGACATTGCTGGGAGCCGAAACAAGGTATTTGCCACTGGAAAAACTAGCATTAGCCTTGATGATGGCCTCCAGGAAATTGGCACACTATTTTCACGCCCACACCATAATTGTCCTCACAGCTTTTCCACTAAAAGCTTTGTTTGAGAGGGCAAACTTTTCTGGGCGAATCTTGAAGTGGGCAGTAGAGTTGGGACAATTCGACATCAAGTTCCAACCCAGGACCGCAATAAAAGCCCAATCTTTGGCAGACTTTGTCGCAGAATTTACTCCTGGAAGTCATCATATCTGCCCAGTCGACCTAACTGACATAACCGAACTAGGGACGGAAGTTGACGCCGGAATAGCACAACCCCTAGTAGAAGATACTTAGTCAGACCCCAAGGCAGACCAGGCTAAAGATAACAAGGAAGAAACAAACCAAGGTTCACCAACAGTATAATCAGACGGCGAGGGGCAGACAGCAAGCATGGACCTTGAAGAAAACACCATTCTTGACCCCATGACATCATCTGACCCCTCCACTTGCTAGAAGTTATTCGTTGGTGAGATGTGGAAGTTCTTTGTGGATGGAGCATCCAACCGGCATGGTGCAGGACTCGGCATAGTCCTCATCTCACTAGACGGCCTGGTTGTAGAGCAAGCAATCAACCTAGGCTTCCCAGCATCAAACAATGAAGCGGAGTACGAAGCGCTTCTCGCAGGACTCAAATCAGCATATTACATGAAGGCCACCGAACTAATGGTCTACAGCGACTCACAGCTGGTGGTAAATCAAATTTCTGGCGACTATGAAGCGAAGGATGATAGGATGGCCAAGTACCAAGAGTTGGTCAGAACAGAGATCAAGAAATTTGAAGTAGTAAGGATAGAACAAATTGGCAGAGATGAAAACAGCAGAGCAGACGAACTAGCAGGCTTCGCCTCAATGGCAGATTCCTCCATACCTCATCCACTACTAATCGACTACCTATCTAGACCAAGTATTGAAGAACCAGAAGCAGAAAATGTATGTTGCGCAGAACTAGGCCCCTCTTGGATGGATCCCATCATCCTGTTCTTAAAAGACGACATCCTACCAGAAGAGAAAAAAGAAGCCAACAGAACAAGAGCAAAGTCACAGCGATTTTGGCTCTCCCCATCCTTGGCATTATACAAGAAGTCATTCTCAGGACCTTACCTAAAATGTGTTCACCCCAGCAAAGTGGAAGCATTCTTGTTCGAAATACACGAAGGGGTGTGCGGAAGCCATCAAGGAGGAAGATCGCTAGCTTACAGGGCCATTTCACAAGGATACTGGTGGCCATACATGCAGGCAGACTTAGAAAAGTATGTGAAGAAGTGTGAGAATTGCCAAAAATTCGCACACCAAATACATCAACCAGCAAGAGAACTTTTACTATTAACTAGCCCATGGCCTTTCGCAATGTGGGGCTTTGACATAGTAGGACCACTTCCAACAGCACCCGGCAACAGGAAGTTCTTTCTCGCAGCAACTGACTACTTCACAAAGTGGGCAGAAGCAGAAGCATTGGCATCAATCAAAGAAAAAGATGTGAAGAAGTTCGTTTGGCAGAATATCATCACTCGGTTTGGCATACCAAAAGCCCTAATCTCAGACAATGGCACTCAGTTCGACGGCAGAATCTTCAGAAGCTTTTGTGAAGAGTACAAGATAGAGTTCTACAATTCTACACCGGCCTATCCTCAAGTAAATGGCCAAGCGAAAGCATCAAATAAAGTCGTCTTAGATGGACTGAAGAAAAAGGTTAGAGAAGGCAAAAGGCAAGTGGGCAGACGAACTTCCTCATGTTTTATGGGCTTATCGCACCACACCTCGACAATCAACAGGAGAGACACCATTCTCCTTAGCTTACGGAATGGAAGCAGTAATCCCACTGGAAGTTGGCCTCCCCACAATTCGAAGCGAAAATTTTGATCCAGACTTAAATGGAGAAGCCATAACATTGGAACTCGACCTTGCAGAAGAAAGAAGAGAAAGAGCACTGGTTCACATTGCTTCATACCAACGAGAATTAATTAGAAAATACAACAAAAAGGTGCACCCAAGACAATTCAAGATCGGCGATTGGGTACTGCGCAAAGTAATGGGAAACACCTTGATACCAGGAGATGGCAAGTTAGGGCCAAACTGGGAAGGTCCTTACAAAGTGGTTGGGTTAGCAGGCAAAGGGGCATACCACCTAGAAGACAAGGACGGCAAAGCAATCCCTAGGCCATGGAACACGGCCAATCTCAAGTTATTTTATTTTTAGCTTTTTTCCTTTCAAACATGTGTAATTTCTTTTTCGTCAATAAAATAATCAATTCTTTTCAGCATGAGTTAGCTTTAGTGAAGTTAGGAATATTGCAAACATTATTATTCTAAGTTGGTTGGAAAAACTAACTTAGAGGTTGGCTGGAATAAACCAACACCCTTCCTAAGCCAAGGATAAGGATCCCGGCTGCAGGACGTTTGGTCGGAATAACCAAACATTATTCTAAGTTGGCTGAAAAAACTAACTTAGAGGTTGACTGGATTAAACCAACACCCCTCCTAAGCCCAGGATAGGGATCCAGGCTGCAGGACGTTTGGTCGGAATAACCAAACATTATTCTAAGTTGGCTGGAAAAACTAACTTAGAGGTTGGCTGGATTAAACCAACTCTTTGAACTCCTCAGCCGAAGTATGAGTATGGCTGAAGAGTGGTTGGCCGGATAAAACCAACTCTTGGTACTCCTCAGCCGAAGTATGGGTATGGCTGAAGAGTGGTTGGCTGGATTAAAACCAACTCATTGTACTCCTCAGCCGAAGTAATTATGCCGGCTAAGGAGTGGTTGGCTGGAATAAACCAACTCCTGTTACTCTTCAGCCGAAGTAAGGGTATGGCTGAAAAGTGGTTGGCTGGATTAAACCAAATCTGTGTACTCCTCAGCCGAAGTAATTATGTCGGCTAAGGAGTGGTTGACTGGTAAGCATAAGTTAGTTCAAACAAGCAAAAACCGAGATAAATGTTGGACATGAAAAGATCAAGTGCAAGCATACAAATCAAAACCGGAATAAGAGTTCAAGCAAAATTTTCATTCATTAAAAAGCAATTACAGAGGGGCATAGCCCGGTTACAAAGACAAAAGGTAACAACAAAGAGAGAAAGAACAAAATCATGAGAAAAGATCTTCAATTTCGGCATCAAAGGCAGCATCGGCATCAACATGAAGACCGGTTTCTGGCGGGAGCTCGTTCTCGGTCACAAGGGTGGTTTCGGTCGGAACCACGGTTTCACCTGGTTGTTCAATAGTTAGATCTTCCACCGTGGGCTCCGGTCGAACTGTCTGATCCACATTGACAACCGGAGTATCCTCAGAGGCAGAGTCTTCATCAGAGTCTGAACCTTCAAGAAACTGCTGTTGCATGGCATTAGCATACTCCACAAGGGAGTTCGGTATGAAGTAGGCTGGAGGGTTGAAAACCTCGGTCTGTGGATCGTAACCGAGCTTCTCAACAGCTGCCCTCCAACCGCACTTCAAGAATAGCTCCTTGGCAGCTTCGCACTGCTTGACATAAGCATCCTTTGCCTTCTTGTAGCCTTGCTTTTCGGCTCCTTTTGCGCTCTCCTTCAGTTGGGATATTTCGGCATCTTTCTTCCTTTCGAGCTTCACCAGCTCCCGCAGATACTTATCCTTTAAAACAATGACTACCTTCTGCTTTTCTGCTTCGGCCGAGCTAACCAGTCCGGCCAGTCGGCCGTTCTCAGCTTGTAGCTCGGCCATGTGCTTTCTGGCCTCCTCTAGCTCGGCCGTCTTCGCTTCGGCCTCTGCCACGGCTTGCCTCGTAGTTTTCCTGAGCTCTAACACTTTTTTGTGAGTGACGTTGTTTTTCTGAATGGCCTGACAAGACAAAGACTTCCTTTTGAGCCGAAGTGAAAGTTAGAGAAAACTAAAAAGAAAAACGGACGAAGCTACTTACCAGGATCATGGATTTTGTCGAAGACCGGATGGCCTTCAGTTCGGTGTTTAGTTGTTTTTGGTGGTGCTCCATGTCTTTGGGGAGGCACACACTCTTGGCCAGGTTGAAGGCCAACTGGTGGTCTTTCTCAGCAACAACCGAGTCTGAGTCTTGGATATCTCGGTTGTTGAAAGTAAGTTTTGGTGCCCAGCTACCGGTAGTTCGGTCAGAAGGCTCCGGTTGGGGGCTCGGTGGCAAGCTCGGTGGAAGAGCAGGTTCTTCTTCATCAACCAAACTTCGTTCGATTTCGGCAGTCCGGGCGCGCTTGGTTCGGCGGGAAGAGGACGGCTGTTGAGAAGGGAGGGCCACAACAGCAGGCTGCGATTGGCTTGGTGGCGTTACTTCGGGCCTGGTTGTCTCGGTTAAAAGCGCCCTGACTCTGTTCTTTTTTGCCATCTCCTTTTCAGCTGTTAGTGGGATCAGTCTAATCTCGGGTAAGGATGGGTCCGGTGCTAGGGCCTCTTCAAGAAGAAAGTCAGTTACTCTGACTTTTCCAGCGACCACTGTATCGGTAGGTCGGCTCGAATTTCAGCAATTTGGCCCAACTACGTTCAGGATACCGTAGTGCGGCGCGCAAAGTGGCTGGGTTTGGGTAGCTGTATAAAGAGTGAAGGTGGGCAGAATCTGCGAAAAAAGACAACTGTTAGTCCAGCTGAAAAATTAAAAAACCGAAATAGAAAAAAAAAATGCAAGGAAGAAGACCGAAGTAAATTTACCGGGCTCCCCTTTTTTCCAATTTATAGGTCGGCCAGGAATCTGGGCTTGATGATCCTCAAAATTCCCAGAGACCCATAAAAAATCGTCGTCGTTTAAGTCTTTGTCCGGTGTATATTTTATTATCTTCTCTTGGCGGCGACGTATTCTAAGATAATAGACCCACCCATCTTCTTTTGAACCAATTGAATATTGATGGAAGATTTCGGCTAGGCCAAGGTTTAGTCCGGCTTGACAGTTCAGTTCGGCTATTCCCATAATGATGCGGTATGAATTGGTGGATAGTTGGGTAGGGCATAATCTAGTCTGCCTAAGAAACTCGCAAATCAGTGGTTGGACTGGAAACCGTAGTCCGGTTTCTATAATGGATAAAAGGGTGAAGGGGACGAAGCCTTCATTGTCCCAGGGAATGACGTCTTTTTCAGCCAAGACCAGTTGGACGTCATCAGGTATTTGGAAGTCTTTCCTGAATTCGGCTAGGCCGCCCGGAGTATTTACTAGGTATCTATACTTCCCCATCTATCGTATAATTTACGAATAAGTTATATCGGTGCAAAAATTGTGCTCAGTAGCTCGGTTGAGCGCACGCAGGAGTGCCTGGGCAACCTAAGTCTGCAAAGTAGAAAACACAGGGGTTAAGCACAGATCATTGGACCGTGCTACAAATTAAAAGCGAGGTAAAAAGTCCTACTTCGGCTTTATGGACGGGTTTGGACCGTTCTACAAATTAAAAGCAAGGTAAAAGAGCCCTACTTCGGCTTTATGGACAAGTTCTATCTCGGTTCAGTAAAAGGCTTGGTAGCTCAGTTTGAGCGGGGTTTTTATTAGCCAAGACCTTGGTGAGCATTTCGGCATACTGGCTTTGGAAACAATTTTGCTAGACCGGTTCATCGTCTAGGGGCAGCTTTCTGAGTTCGGTCTAAGAAACTAAGAAAGGTGGTTTAGCCCCAAAGGCCTAAATCGGTTGAACTATGGGTTTTGATTACTTCGGTTGAGCCTCTAGGGGCAGCTTTCTGAATTTGGTTCAGAAACTAAAAAAGCTGGTTTAGCCCCAAAGGCTTAGCTCGGTTGAAGACCAAGGTTCCTAGTTTAATGAGTTCAAACTTCGTTCGGTAAGCTTATCTCGGCTAGAGTGATTCAGGAGTTGGTAACCTACTGAAACTACTGTTATTTCTACAAGTTCTAGTTCGGTTATTGTCTAAAGTGATCTACCTATATAGGACAAACAGCTTCCTAGTTCGGTTGGGACATGATTCTGGATCAAAATCGAGTTTTCTCTAGGATATATAGCATATACTCGTAGGTTCTATTGATTTTCCCATGGAAGTTCATAAGCAAAAACAAAAATGAACAAGCATGTTTCGCAAAAACGTAGAAAGCAGAAAAAAGAAAAACAAAACGGGTTTTCTGAAGCTTACCAGAGGAAGATGAAGCAGGGGAGCAACAGCACCAGCGAAGAACACGAGCTCAGGAAACTCAGAGGTTGGAGAAACAGAAGCACGAAGAGAGAAGAAGATGAACAGAGAAGGTGAATGATTCAAAGATGAAAGGGTTGTTTTGTGAAAAAGATGAAAGGCAAAAAGGGCGGGACAGTTCGAATTTTTCGTAGTACGAGGGCGGCGTGACAGCTGCCCACAGCCTATCAGAGCCTGCCGCGTGTCATTGGAAAGTGAAGCGTTACAATCACAGTGATTGAAGAGACGTTTTGACCGGACAAACGGAACCCGGAGTAAATTAAGCTCGGCTGGAGAGGTTAACGGGTTTTTTAGCTCGGCTGGAGAGGCTAAAGGGGTTTTTTAGCCCGGTTGGAAAGGCTTAAAAACGTTAGCTCGACTGGTAACCAGGTAATCCCAATCATGCTGTGCAGATGGAATTAAGGGGCAATTGAGAGGGTAATTTTGGAAAAAATTGGGCCGAGCTATGAAGCGGACTTTATGGCCCAAAGAACAGACTAGGTAGAAAGGGCCGAGAAGTTACTCCGGCCCATGAGAGATAAAGTTACTCCGGCCGAAAGAGATGAAGTTACTTCGGCTGAAGAATTGTAAAGCTATTTCGGTCCGGGCAATTTGGAGCTAGGTTATGACATTATTTTAGTTATGACTCATGAATTCTTAAGTCATGCCTCATGTCATGTTTGGTTATGATAATTTTTTTTTTTTTTTAGTTATGACTCAAAAAAGTATGAAATTATGCTATTTTCTTCTTTAGTTATAAGGTACATATGGTACACACCTTGGAGTGTATACCATAGCCTTTCTCATTTCTTTAACATCATGGTAAGTTTTAAGTGTTCAGAAACAATATTAGGAACAACTCTCATTGTTCAACGTAGAACACCACACTGCATGAATAAGTGGCTTCACATTGTTGTTCAGAAAATAACTTCATACACAAGACGGACAGGAAGCATCAATCTCAATAAGTCAAATGGACAAACAACTTGAAAGTATGTTAATGCCCAAAATCCTTCAAAAAGTAAAAATAATTCCATGCATCAATGTCATTCATCTACAAATGCATGTACTAGTTTAAAACTTTGTAATATTTTCTTAGACTACTTTTCAAAAAATAAAAATAAAAATAAAAATCATTCATGAATACAGATCTCGTACTGCTGATTAAACCATACAAGAATCCTTACCTGGAAGGAAAGAACCATCTAAAGCTAACTCCAGATTTCCATTTTCACTAGCTATTGCATCATGGATAGTGATTAACTTTGTCCCGTCGGGAAAGGTCCCCTCAACCTAAAGGTAGAATCAGCAGGTGATATTTGCTTAAATAATAAAATTGGAAGAGAATATGTGTTTTACCTCTGAAAAAAGAGAGGAGGGGGGGGGGGGGCAAAAAAATGAAATGGGAAAAAAACAAAGAAAAAAATGCCAGAAAGTAAGCAGTTGAAAAATCTGACAATTCCTATATCATGAACAAGAAGTTCACAATACAAAAGAGTTTTGTTCCTAAACAGAAAATATATCACCCTAATGGTCATAATGCCTATTAGTTAGTCAGATGATAACTTCTGATCCAGAAGGCACAAAAAAAATTGAGAATGACAAGATTATAAAGCAGCAGATACAACACCTTCAGGTGAAGCAGCTATATTAACAAAACAACAAAGAGGATTCAACATGTGCTGACACAAACTGTCAGTGTAAATCATTAGATTGTATGTTACTGTATCAGAACAACAAAAGAAGATATATAATAATCGCTACAAAATCAATAAATTTAGTACCCGAACAGAATGCAAAAGGTGTGGAACAGCTGGAAGAACTTGTTTCCTGTTGACAGGGTTGAACTTTCAGATCCAGTATTTTCCACTGAGGGTGAATAATTCTAAAGGAAATTTGTTACATGTTCAACTCTAAGTTTGTAAATCACCAAGTTTCGTCGGCCATGTGATTTACAGTAAGAAAAATTCCAGTCGATTTTTCTCTACTCATTCCATATTAATTATTAATAAACTTAAACAAAATGTTTTCTGGAAGCTAACATTTTCAGTTATTAGCACCTTGGGATATTAGTATTGCCAGAACACACCCAGTTTGAAAAATAATTTTCATTATTCCCTTGTATGATAACTTCAATAAACCATGTTAAGCCGAAAAGATGATGCAAAAAAACACTAACTGGTGTCAGAATTCCAACAATATAACACATGAGCATTTTCATTACGGAAAAAACCATTTTTTTGGACCACCATATGCTTCTTCTTCTCATTCTTCACTGAATATTTCAAACTGTCAGTATATCTGTTCTGTCAATTACGATTGATGCAAACTCACAAGATCAAACATTCAACAACAAAGATGAATTTCCCAGTGCCTATATTACTGTAGAATGGCAACAATAACATATGAATAAAAGAAGAAATTTGATGAACAATACAGATCATACCTTCCTAATAATTGTTTCCCAATGTCCATCAACTCTGCCACTGTCTTATCACCATCACGAACAAATTCCAAAATCTACAAACGGGACCCAAATACAAAAGGAATATCAAACATCCTATTCCAGAATAGACTTGAGGGTTACAATTTCTAGATTAAAATAGCATGATTCTGTACATGCGCAACTAAAATTCCATAAAGCTTCAACACAAATGCATTGGGACACCAAACTAAAAGACTCCATTTTTCACTTTAGACCGTGTTTGGTTGGGGATTTGGAGAGGGATTTGAAAAGGGAAAGGGAAAAAATGTATAAAATTAAGTGAAATATAGATATGTTTTATTCACATTTCACTGACATTTTCTAACATTGTCACCACCAGATCTAAGAAGGTAGTGGGAGTAGTGACTTGGCGGAGATGGACATTGTTTTTTTCCAGAAAAATGGTTGGAGAATTGTAGAAAAACATTGTCGGAAAAATATTGACGGAGGTCAGAGGTAGTCGCCGGCAGAAGATGTTTTGGAAAATTATTTTGAGAGAGTTTTGGAAAAAGTGATTGATTTGATGTGTATGAGAGAGAGATTTGTTTGGAAAACTTGTAAACCAAACAAGTTTTGGGAAATTTTTTTGGAAAAATTTGTTTGGTTTGATTACTTTTGAAAACTTATTTGTAGAGAATTTTTCCCAAAAATTTTTGAGAAACACAAACCAAACGAGGCCTTTGAATTTTCTCTTGTTTGCATTTTCAGAAATGAGCACAAAGTTGAAAGAATGTGTACTGTCCAAAACTAAGCTCACCAGCTTATTCAATCGTATCAAATAAACTCATATTTAGTAATTGAATTAATATTGAAAGGACGAGTTAGAAATTTACGTTGTTGACATCCATTTTAAAGAGACAGTTGATATATAGCTAGAACCTAAAGCATGGATATGAGATATGGATAGTCCGATATGACAAAACTTTAAAACATATATATATATATTGAGAGGGTAATTTTGGTAAAAATTAGGCCGAGCTATGAAGCGGATTTTATGGTGGGTATATGGCTAGGATATGTTTGTAAAAAATATATATATTTTTTAAAAAATTATTACTAGTTATTTACACGTAAACTCAAGAATGTTAAAGCATACTATAATTTTACAACGCAAAATACTAATATTTAAGAATTAGATATTAATTTAAGCCCGCAACTAGTTTAATTTTTTAATTTTGAATAAATCTTGCAAATATTTTATTTCAATTTCAATTTCAAGTCTAATATGTTTATTTTACAATAATAAAATAATCCACAACTTATCTCTATGCATTTTCCTTTTGCATTAATCAAAAATATTGTATACAAGTTTACATGCTTATTTATTTTATATATTGATATTAATTTTTTATTTTTTTATATTTTCTTGTTAGTTATTACTAAATATGTATGAAAATTAAACATGTATGATACAATAGGATCCATCAATTTAACAAATTCTATTATTTTTAACTCACTATGTTCTTTTCAAAAAACTGAGTAAACATTTTATCCTTGCAATTATACTATATTAATTCTAATTTTGTAAACGAAGTAATACATGACTTTGAGTATCAACACTTCAAAATTAAGTAAATGATGCTTCAAAATTAATAATAAAAAAAACAATTACGAAGTATTTTATACATGTCCGCGAGCATCCAACCATATGCAATCTTTCTTTCTTTTTTGAAAGTTTAAAATTTTCACTAACCTGTGTTGCTATAAGTGCCACAGCTTCAGTGTAATTGAGCCTTAAGCCACGAGCAAGACGCTTCTGAGCAAGATATCCAGCATCATGAAGCATAAGTTTCTCAACCTCGCTCGGAGTCAGCTTCATTTTTATTTTATTTTTTTTTGCAAATTCTCACTCTGAAACCACAACAACAATCACAACTCACAATCAATCACAAACAGAATCGAAATTAAAACCACACAAACACATATCATAAACTTTAAATTGATTAATAATTATCTAAATCCACAAAACGTGTGGCTGTGGAAAAAATAAAAATTTTTATGGAAAAGACCCGTGGAAAAAGACAAAGCTATGGTTGGTAGGAAGTTCATCCAAAAACAGATTCGAATCCGACCTTAATTGAGGTTAAATTTGACATTGTTTAAAAAAAATTAAAAAGTCACTATCATATTTAAGTTATATCATTTTATTTAAATCACATCACTTTAAACTCAATTTATATTTTATAAAAAAATAAAAAATTATACTTATTTAGAATATTTTAAATCATCTCTGAATCATTCATTTGATTTCTTTTTTTTATAAAGATTATTTTCTTTAAAAAAAAAATTTGATTGGACCGTTCAATTTATACAAAGAAGTTGTGACGTGACAATTTTACCTAATCTACAAACTTATAACTTTATGAGTTAATAATACCCGTGGAAAGCAGGGAAATGAGGAAAATGATGACATGAGGTAACTCTTGTATGTATTAATGGACGTCATAAGGGGTCTATCTAGGACCCTTTTTTTAAGTGAAAAATTAATAATAAAATATAAAAATTAAAAGTATCAATTTTTTTATCTAATGATGTTTGGATTCACGTGGTCTTGACTCAATCGGTGAATCTCTAATGTTGTATTTGATTGGGCGATTTGGGGAGAAATTTGAAAAGAAAAAGAGAAAAGGTGTGTGAAATTAAGTGAAATATAGACATGTTTTATTCACATTTCACCTACCTTTTTCATTTCCCTTTCCAAATCCTTCTCCAAATCCTCCAACCAAACACAACATAAGAGAAAGCATGAGTCTTAAATATACACAGATACAATGTTAATCAAGACTCTCCGATACTTAGCTTAATAGAGTATATTTTGAGATAAGAAATGTTTCTTTCTTTAATTTTTTATAAATGATTTCTATTATACTTTTTTAGCAGTGATGGACCTCACATTTAGAGTATCTCCAATGGTTGTTGCTATAATATCATTACTATTGTTATAATTTGACAATGAATAGTATTTTTTTACTAAATTATAGCAATGGTGCTCTAATGATTACTTGCTACTTTGGCAATTTTCAATTAACTTTCTCTCCAAGTTTGTACCTGCTGTTTGGATATAGATTTTTTTGTAATTTTATTTTTGTTTATTTTTTGTCTTTTATGACCTTTTTTTAACTATTTGTAAAAAAAATTATATATTTATATTATTCCCGACTAGACAAATAAAAAAATTGAAAAATTAGAAAAAAAATTAAATATAATTCAATTTGAAAAATTAATAGAAAAATTAAATTTGAAAAATTATTTGGTTTTCTACTGTTTCAATTCTGTTTTTTCAACTGAATTTGGAGCCACAAATATGTTCATATTTGTTGATGTGGCATGTTTGGCATTGCTATTTTACTTGCCAAATTTAAGAGCAGATATGGCACGTACCATCTTTGACAAGTAAAATAGTAAGCCATTGGAGACTCACTTTTTATCACTATTGGTAAATTATAATTTTGACAAATATTTTAAAAGCTCCATTAGATATGCTCTTACTTGGCCCTTTTTAAATTTATTTAAATTTTATCTCATAAACTCATAAACAATTAAAACATATTTTTTAAAAAAATTATAAATAATTTCAAAACGTCAACACCAAACATGACTTGATTCTTCTCTCCTGAGGCCAACTGGGGTGGTTATTTATGGGGAGATAGCAACTTTTTTTGGTTTGCTTTACAATGTTTCACTTCTATAAACACACAAGAACGATCTGTGCCCCTGTTACTCTCTCTCTCTCTCTCTCTCTCTCTCACTATTCCCCAAAATGGACTTGATAAAGACTTATTTTCCAGTAGCCAAAAATTTAATCAACTCCATTTGGTAGCTCAAAATGGCGTGGGGGCGAAAGGCTCGAATTTCTTTGTACACCCACCCTTTTCTTTGTACACAGGTCATTTCTTTGTAATTTTTTTTTTTTTTCATCATCAACAAAAGCTAATCATTTGGGCAAAGAAAATTAACTATTGAAGATGGTTGAAGATGTTTTTGTCAGAAGATCTTCAAACAAGCTAATCGTTTTGGGCTAATTTTTGGGCTAATCGTCAAAAGATTATCATCATCCCTTTGAAGATCTTCAAACAAGGTAATCGTTTTGGGCTAATCGTTTTCTGCAAAAGCTAATTTTTTTCATCATCAACAAAAACATCTTCATGAACATCATCATCATCAAACACATCATGATCAAACCCACTTTCTCTCTCTAAAAACTATGAAACCCATCACAAAACTGAAATCAAAATCAAAATCAAAATCAAACTCACCCACCCACCGATCAAACACAAAAATCAAACCTAATCAACCACAAAAATCAAACCCAGCCACAAAGAGAGAGAGAGAGAGAGATCTTCCAAAGAGATACACAAACACACAGATACAAGAGGATTCTTCCCCCTCTATCATCATCAACAAACACATACACAAGAGTCTCTGGTCTCTCTTTCTTTCCCAGTCTCTGGTCTCTCTTTCTTCTCTTCTCTTCCTCTGTTTTCAGAGATCTAAAAAATAAAAAATAAAAAAAAATTGCCCAAAACGACGTCGTTTTGGGCAATCGGGCCATTCGAGCCAACAGTTTCTCGAGCTACGAATCATTTTTGAAATTTAATAAAGGGCGGTGATTGAGGGCCCGAAATGGAGAGCCCCGAATGGCTCGAAATTCCATTTCGGGTAAAAAGAAAGAAAAAAAAAAAAGAAAAAAGAAAGAAAAAAAAAAAACAGTTTCCAAAATTGGAAATTAGAGGTATTAAGGGCAACTTTTTTAGGGCTCTCAATCATTTTCCTTTAATAAATTGTCCTCTAGTAAAGGACCCCTATTGTTGTTTGCACGCATGTCTATTTATTTCATCAATAATATTATATATATATATATATATATATATATATATATAAAGTTCATTTGAATGATTGGTCAGACAATTAGTTGAATAATCAGATGATCGATTAATCAGAGTTTATTAATCGCGACTATCATCTTATCATCTAATTGACCTCCTGATCATATAATTAATCGTTCAAATGAACAATTTCTATATTTGATTCTTTGTTTGTTCTCTATATACATAATATTACTGTTATTTCATTCATTATTACTTGACATTGTGCTTTTCATGTGACCGTGTCACATATTGACCTGTGTGGCCATGGTCCCCCCTCCTATTTGGGAAATTTATGTATATAAAGTATATAATATAATAAATTTGAATGCATAATATTTGTGGTCTTTTATTGGCTATGACTTAAGAAATTTTTAATTGTACCTTGTGTGGTATATGGCTATAATTTTTATTTTTATTTTTATTTTTATTTTTAAATTATGACTTTTATAGGATTGAGTTATGACATTTATAATAATCCAATCCATAAATGTCATAACTTGCATATGAGAGTGTGCATATATGAAATTTTTTACAATGAACACCTTTTATCATATACGCCCTTAGTTATGTTATTTTTTAATTTAATTATGATTAATTTTCTTTTTAATTTTGACATTATTTTGATATGTTTGGTTATGTTTCATATAGTGTTTGATTATGATTTTTTTTTTTATACATAATTATGACTCAAAAAATATAAAGTTATACTATTTTTTAGAAGGATGTGTACCATAATTTTTCTTTATATATATATATATATATAAGTCTAGGTGCACAAAGAAAAATGAACTCAAAACCAACTAAGACTAATGACTAATTCACCATTATGATTTTGTTAAAAACTCAGTTTTAATTAGAAAATTATGGATTCAACTCTCCATAAGAAAGAGTTGAATTAGGTGGCAAACACTTAGTACTTTGCAAAAGTAAGAAAATTAACTCTCATAGATACTAATCTAACAACTAACAACTGACGTTCGCTAAAAAAAAAAATGAAAAATGAACACAAAATATATAGATTTATTGTCTCATATTTGTGCATTTTGTGTCCCATTTTCTCTGTCGCAAGTAGCACAAGTGCATATATATTGATCAACAATGCTAATTACCTCTAGTCTTACATATTTTTGAACACACTCTCTTAGGTAGGTATGAGATTGAGAGGGAGATTTATGGTTTGGTTTGGGCCGTGGTAATGGCCGAGTAGATTTGGGCCGAACAAGTTTGGGCCGCGGTAAAACGGGCCTATCCTGAAGGGTTTTGCTCGGTTAAGGCAAGGCGTGGTCGGCCGAGCTGTTTGGCTTCATGGTATAGAAGCCGGTCGAGTGAGATAACCGGCGCCAGGCAAGGTGTGGAGGTTCCACGGTGCATGATTTAGCACGGCAGGAAGGCCGGTGGTAAACTAGTATGAGCTGTCCCGAGCTCGGCTATACCGGGATGCAGCCGAGCTCGGTTCTCGATGAGCTTAGTTATTGGAACGCTTGGGCTTGAAGTGCAGCATGGCCGTTGGTAGCCGAGCCCGAGATACTGCAATCCGGCTGCCGAGCTCCCAGTAGAGTGGGCTGGCAGTTGGGATTAGGTGATGTTCAGCAAGATCTGTGCTGACAGATGGGATAGCAGCACCACGTGTCGAGAGACTAATGGGAGTAGATTTGGGGCACAGAAGGTATATAAGCGAGTCTACGCCCCTCATACTGAGGATGACACATTTTTTGGTGAGATAAACACTAAACACAACTCAGTCCTCTCTCTCTCTATCCTTGTGTGTGTGTCTAACTTGATCGTCGGAGGGGTTTTCCGGCCACACACTGCTGTTGTGTTCGCAGGTCGATCGGACAGGCAGGAACTTGGAAGAAAGGAGTGCGGGCTTGCCTGAATATTTGCTCCCCGCACAATTGGCACCGTCTGTGGAAAACATTGCAGACAAAACCTTGTCTTCCAGGCTCATCTAATCGCCGTTCATGGCAAACAACGAAGAGATTTCGCTGTCTGCTGTCGACGGAGTTACCTCGGAGTCGGGCAGAAGGAGAGAAAGACATCCCTCCATCATTCCTCCGATGGCGGACCTGGAGACTTCTCTAGGAGGACAATCAGGAGACACGCGCGATAAGTGCGGAAGAAGTTATGGTCATTCACGGAGTCCAGACGGTCATCGGCGGTGGAAAGAATCGCACGCCAGACGTCTGGAACATAAGCTAAGGGACCAGGACGCCGTCATCCGGCGAATGGCGGTGGAAATGAAGGAGCTGAAGCGGCATGTCAAAGGGAAGGGTGTAGCTGAAGGGGGAGACCACAGTGAGTGCACCCAACCCCGCCGTTCAGGCAGTCAGAGTTAGCGGCACACTCCTTCCATTTCTATCACTAGAAGTTACAAGGTTGGAGATTCCGACGTGTATGTAGAGAAATCTAGCGCGCAAGATAGCACTTACCACCCCTCATGTCCGGTGACGACGTCGAGGTACTCTTATTCCGCTTAATCAGAGGATTTGCGGGCAGTTTTGAAGGAATGGGCTTGCCGGCGAGAGGCTCAGAGGGTGTCGGCGTTCCAGCGGCTATCCTATGGGGTTCACGCCAGCGAGGAGGTCAGAATACCTCCACCCCGCCTAGCCGCGCCTCTCCCTGTAGACACAGACTTGGCGAGGCTCAATGTCACTCCATTCTCCGTGGATATAGAGACAGCACCGCTTCTGGCGAGCTTCCACCAGCTAAAGTTCACGCTCTACGATGGAAAAACCGACCCGTATATGCATGTAAGTCATTTTCGACAAGTCATGGCCGGACATAGGCGGAATAACGCTCTTATGTGCTTGATCTTACCGTCGAGTTTGGGCGAGCTGGGTTTGAAATGGTTCGAGAGGCTGTCGGAGGGGAGCATTGAAAGGGGGTAGCAGTTGGCCGAGGCCTTTGTGACGCGCTTCAAAACCAACACGAAAACGCCAAAGGAAGTTGATCATCTACTGAGTGTCAAGATGGAACCGAGCGACACATTAAAGGCATACAACTCCAGATATTGGGAGACCTTCAACGAGATCTTGGATTGCCCGGTCAACCTTGCAATCACACAGTACAAGCGTGGTCTCCCGGTCGGACATAGACTGCAGGACTCGCTTACCATGCACCAGCCGACATCCATGGGCCAGTTAATGCAGCGCATCAATGAGCACATTCGAGTGGAGGAGGATGTGTCAGCATCTACTGCGAAGGCAATTCCGGTAGCAACGGACAAGAGGTCGGCTGGTAAAGTGTACGCGGTCAGACAAGAGTCCAGCCGTTCAAATGACCGCACTGAGGAATCGGATCGTGGCTCAAATCACAAAAATCGGGGTAGGGGACGTCGGAATGACCGGGATGACTACCCCCGGGATGACATAGCAGATGCAAACAAAAGATTGAAGGCCAGGACAGGTATCACTAATCTATCGCATATTTAGTGAAATTCGTGACGAGGAGTATGTCCGGTTTCCTGCTAAGTTGGGCGACGGACAGAAGGGCTTCAATCCGCGGTACCGTTGCACGTTTCACCAGGAGCGCGGCCACCGGATGGAGGACTGTTTGCCTTTGAGGCAACACTTGGAAGAGCTAGTCGCAGTCGGACACCTGGACATTTACATTGATGGAGGCGTGAAGGCAAATCAAGCTCCGGTTGACCCGCGGAGACCGGATGACCGGGATGCGCCTTCTCAAAGGATTGTTAATGTCATCTACGGGATAATGGAACCAGCGCGTGTATGCGAGCTCTGCGGTATGATTAAAAAGGCAAAACACATGAGGGAAGTTTTGTCGGTTCAGCCTGCGATCAAGAAGGGGAAGACCGAAGTGAAAGATGTAATCAGTTTCTCCTCAAGGGACCTAGAGCGCATTCAGATGCCGCACAACGATGCCTTAGTGGTTACACTCCGCGTCAAAGAATTTGATGTCAAACGGATCTTGATCGATTAGGGAAGCTCGATCGAGATCATGTATTATGACGCATTCAAACAACTCAAGCTCCGAGATACGGATTTGGCTCCGGCAACCTCGCCACTGGTTGGTTTTAACTCACAACCGGAGTGGCCTTTGGGAAAGATTATCCTGCCGGTCAAAGCGGGGTCCGTGGTAAAGCAGGTGGAGTTCTGGGTGTTGCAGGTGCCATCTACTTATAACCTGATCCTTGGAAGAGGATGGCTTCACGCTATGCAAGCCGTGGCGTCAACCTACCACCAGGTAATGA